TGTAATACATAAAAGTCCGATCTTTTGATAGCAAAAAATAGAATATTCTGTTTTTCATTTTGATCTAAGGAAGTTTTTTTTTTTTTAATTCATAAATGACGCTGCAAAAATGGAAATTGAATTACTAACATCATGTTTTAAAAAATTATTAAACTTAAAAAAAATTAAAGTTTCACGATCTAGAATATTTTCAACAGCAAGGGCGATGAGTGGAATATTAAATATGTTACGACTAATACAGATATTATGCTTAGACTAGATAAAAGCTAATTAATAAATATTTTGCAACCATTATATATCTTTTTCCCCCTTGTAAGTAACACTAAACAAATCCCAAAATGAGTGGAATATTGGTGATGAGTGGAATATTAAATATGTTACGACTAATACAGATATTATGTTTAGCCTAGATAAAAGCTAATTAATAAATATTTTGCAACCATTATATATCTTTTCCCCCCTTGTAAGTAACGCTAAACAAATCCCAAAATGAGTGGATTATTGGTGATGAGTGGAATATTAAATATGTTACGACTAATACAGATATCATGCTTAGCCTAGATAAAAGCTAATTAATAAATATTTTGCAACCATTATATATCTTTTTCCCCTTGTAAGTAACGCTAAACAAATCCCAAAATCCTTCCAGCTTACGCATTTTTTGAACAACCACAAATTAAACATTCAGTTAGCTTTTATAGACAATGAAAGAGTTTTGTCTTCTTAAATAGATGTATTTCACCAAAATCTCAAAAAATTGTGATCGCGACGAACTGTGTTGGCGACGAATTGCATGTGCGACAAAATGTGCTGGCGACGAATTATGCCAATGGATTGTGCCTACGGTGAATTGCCACCGTTACGAATCGAGCTCATGACGAATTGTTGCTGTGATGAATTGTACCCATGACGAATTGCGCCCACCACGAGCTGTCGCCCAGACGAATTGTGCGCGATTAATTAATGTGACACTTTTTTTTTTTTGCATAATTTTTAAGAAGGTAATTTTAAATAGCAAAACACGAAATTTGAGCGGAATCGGCCAAATAGTATCTGAGTTATTAAATTTTTTAAAAAAAGGTCATAAATTTAAAACTATTCAGTCGATCTCGTTGAAATTTTGTATTTTTTCATATAAAATTACATTTTTTAAAATGATGTTAGAAATTGCATACCTTACAATTTAAAAATATATTTTTTTCTACATTGATTTATGTTTTAATAAACGAATTGTATAATTTGTTGCACAATTTTTTTGATTCGCTTAAGATGAAATATAGCGCAAAAAGTAAAATTAAGATGAAAGGGGGGTCAAACTTACGATCGTTCTCCTGCCTAAATTAAATATTTTCCAGGATTGCGGCTGCCCTCCATATTTTGAGAGTTAAGAATTCGAATCCGTCTAGGAAAAAAAAGCTATGATTATTAATACATTTTTGTGTTTGATTTCGTAGTTTTAAATATCGCCAGCACTAAGTAATTAGCATATTTAAGGTTAGGCCCTTGAACCATTAATAGTGAGTCTTGGTACGTGAAAATCCGATCATTAGATTAAAAGTTATTGAGGGTGTTTGTATTTTGCGCACTGTACACGTGGCCTACATAAAACATTAGAGATCGGCCTAATTTGAAAAACGGAAGAACACCACAAAAAAACCAAAATTTTAACGAGTCTTAAAAAGGTTTTCTGATATGAGGTAGTACCATTCGTTATAATCATGGACCATGGTCATTTATAGACAATTTTATGACAAACAGTACTAAATATTCACTGACATTTGGCTAAAAATAATTATGCTTCAATGAGACAAACTCAGCGGAGGCAATTTTTTTAATCACCATTCATGCTCTTTTCGTTTCTCCCCGTTCACTTGGACACGTGTTGAAGATTGTTTTTGGTTGAGTCCATCCGTCGGCCACAATAGGGGTTTCGCATGTTGGCCATCTTTACTCTACATGTATTTCTCTGAATTATCGAATATTGAGCAGAAGATCTGAATATCGTTGGAAGTAGGGATATCATTTTCATTAATTCCCTTTTTATACATAAATTTCTCAATTTTTAATAGTTAAAAAATTATTTAAGAAAAATGGTGTTTGTCAACATCCATTGAGTATTGATTAAGACGGTTACTGTTTTTTTAACTGTAAACTAATTAACTCGTAAAAAGCATGAATTACAGAATTTATTAGTTTAATAAAAAAATAAATAGAGATTGAGATTTTTGTCACATTTTTGCAGCTTCAAGTTCAATATCTTAAACTAAATTTAAATGTTTCTTTGTTCGAATCTCTAACATAATTTTAATTACTATATAGACATGAACATTTGGAAAAATATTAACCCTTAGACGCAGAATTTTAATTTAACATATTTTTCATACTTTTTTCAATATTTTGTATTAATTTGGGTCAAAATAACTTAAAAATATAACATTTTAATAATTTATGGATATGAAATACAGCATGAATTTAGATCTAGCACTTATTTAGATCTAAGAGAAACAGTTATTCATCATTAAAATTTCTTATATTTACCAAATCAATTATTGATAAATTTTTGAACATGATTAAAAAAATTTTTTTTTCTAACTAATTTTCTCGAATTTTGTATTATAGAACAAATATAATTCCGATAAGATTTTTTTAGTAACCATTAGACTGTTTTTTAGAATTAAAAATATCAACGTTCATTTTTGCTAGTACATACCTTACAATTCAAAATTTTTTCGATCCTTTACCTGCCGATTTACGTGATTTAATCCCCAGTGCCACCGTTTTTCGCTCAAGTGCACTTTTATAAGCGGTGATTTGGTGGTTGTGCATGCTTTGCAATTTAAAAACAGTTTACTTTCACAGGAGGATTGTTTTTTAGAATTAAAAATATCAACGTTCATTGTTGCTAGTACATACCTTACAATTCAAGATTTTTTCGATCCTTTACCTGCCGATTTACGTGATTCACTCTCCAGTGCCACCATTTTTCGCTCAAGTGCACTTTTATAAGCGGTGTTTTGGTGGGGGTGCACGCTTTGCAATTCAAAACTTTCACAGGAGAAGGGAAAAAAAGAAAATACAAAACTTAAATTAAAGAACACAATATATTAAAACTTCGTATGATAAATCCTAAAACATGGTTGGACACATTCATTGCACTGATAGCGGGATTCTCGACGAATATACACGGGAAACGAAAGAAGAATAAATCCGACCTTACTCAAATAGAAACACACAAGCAATAAATATTAACTTTTCCAACACATCCCCGAAATTGGTAATACATTCATTGCAAACACTTTCATTGACAAACACTTTTAAGGTCATTTTACTGCTGTTATTCTATTGATAGCAGCTCAATGCAAAGCGTCGTACTTCGGGAAAGCGTATATATACGGCTACGGCAGTTAACGTATCGTCTGGCCGAGGCGTATATATACGCCCGCGGTAGTTAAGGGGTTAAATAAAATGTTAAAAAATAATAAATAAATGACAATTTTTTTTTTGCGTGGCATTATCCTTGGATAAACTAACTTATTTTATAATTGCGAGCAAAATTTTTCAATTCTTTTTTTTAAATTTCTCTAACCATGGTAAAATACGCAAAAAGTAAAATTAACATAGATCAAAAGTTGTTCCATTTTATATTTTGCGCACTGAACATTTGATATAATAATAAGGAACATCATAATAATTATTATGTTCTAATCTTTATTTTTAAAAGAAGGTAATCCCTCAATGTCAAATTGTATAATGCGTATGCATGAGTATATTTAAAAACTAAAACTAAACTCAGCGGTGCGACAGCCCAAGAGGGCCAAGGCCTACTGCGCCCATCTCAGTTTTCTTGACCTTGGGCTCTGGGGTGCAGGAGCAAATGCTCCGGTCAGGTGGTCAGCCGAACGCGGAACCCCCAGTGTTTAGTTCCCAAGCATGCTTGGTACTCATTTATCGACCCACTGAAGGGATGAAAGGCTGAGTCAACCTTGCCCGGCCCGAGGATCGAACCAGTATCCTGTGGCACGACAGCGCGAAGCGCTACCGCTCAGCCACCGGGCGTCATGAGTATATTTAATCATTATATAAACAAAAATGCATATCACGTTTCATATTTAAACATGCGTATATTCTTCTTTAACAATAAGTTCCTAATTTCATTAAATGCATGCATAAATACATAATTAATCATGGCATAAATACAAAATATCATAATCTATATTAAAAAATTTAGTATTTTATTTTAGCATAGGTTTGACAGGTTTAAAAAAATTAAATTAAAAATTCTGAAATTAAAAAATAAGTTTTTATTTTCTAAGAGAATTTTATTCCATTCAGTTTCACTTATAATTCTTGCTCTCTAAAATAGTCTCTAACAATAAATAATGCTTGCAAGAGCTAAAAGATTATTTTTTTAAAATTTCGGTACGATCTAATATTTGACAAAATCACTATTTGTAATATCCCTAATAAATAACAAAAGTTTTATTAAAATTTGTACTCCTCTCTAGAGACAATTATAACGACAGACTTAATAAAATATTATTTCGTAGAGAATATTGTAAAATAGGCACATTTTTGAAAACATCGGTAAAAGTTGTTTTAATTGATTTTTGTAAAAATGTATATCCTATATAAATTCAAGGTTTGGAGAAAAATAAGAATGTAATTTCCCAAACTTTTAAATACATATTAGGGAATCATTCTAATTGTAGTTATAATTCTTTCTTGTTCTCAAACTGTTTTAAATGAAATATAATTAATTGTGCATAATTGTGTTCATTACAAAATATATTTATAATAAAATAAAGTTCGGTATAACTAAGGTTAGGAATCAACTACTCCTGTGATCGCTTTGTTCTAAGTGCTTGGTAGTTTATTCTTGTAATTCTAAAATCGATGTGGGACCTCATTAAAAGAATAAAATCTTGACTAAGTTTTTATAATTAATTTATGGGTTTAGTGCAGTACAATAAAAACACTCATGTAAATAAATAAACATAACATATAGATCAACCATTTTAATATATAAAGCAAATAATATAAAGAGATGATACATACAGATGATAGAATTTCTAGTATAATATTTCGAAGAAAATATTGTGAAACAATATCAAGGCACATTTTTGACTCTTTTAAAAATAAAAATGTGGAGGTCAATCATCAGTGAAAGCTGTTTTTAATCGGAAACATGATAATTTTAAGGTATGAATAAAAATAAGAATGTAATTTTTAAGTACATATTAGAAAAATATTCTAATTTTAATTGCGTTTCTTTCTTATTTTCAAACTCAGGTTGTTTGAATTGAAAAATAATAGATCGTAATTCCTGCGTAATTGGGATCATTACAATATTAATAAAATATAGTTCGTTATAATGTTAATTATAATTAGTGATGTGATCGCTTTACCTAAAGTGCTCTGTAGTTAAATTGTACAATTTTGAAATCGATGTTGGACCCGATAAAAATCTAACATTTAAAAAAAATCTTTACTCCGTTTTTTTAATTAATTTATGTGTTTAATGCAAGAATTACACAATAAATGCCCTCGATATAAATAAATAAATATAACAGATTACCCATTTTAATATATAAAGCAAATAACATAAAGAGATGATACATACAGATGATAAACTTTTATTAGAAAACTAGTGAGAATTTTTTTAATAAAATTTTGTTTTTATATCACATGAAATTTTGATAAATTACTAAACTCTACATTCTCTCATTTTTTTAGAAGATCAAGTGAGGCTGTTATGGATCAATGGGTGCTTCCAACATAGACATAAGAAAGTTATCAATAGGTGTATCACCTATGAGTTTAAAAAAGAAAAGATGTTCCAAGCATTTTAGTCCAATACTCCGTAAAGCAGGTAAACGAAGCAAAAGTTTTGCAAAACGCCCAGGCTGGTCAGGGTAATTTTGTTTACAATAATCCTCCAAAGAGGAATAAATCTTTTCTCGCAAATTTTCAATCTGCGAATTACTTTTGAGACCCTTGACTTCTGTAAAAAAAAAGATTTGTAATTAGAATCGTCTACAGCACAATAAACATAGCTTAAAAGTCATGGTATCCAATTTGTGAGGAGAAAATTAAACTACACAGTCAAATTAGTTCTCTAAATAAGATTTGTAATTAGAATTGTCCAGAGTACACTAAAGATAGCTCAAAAATCTTGGGCACCATGGTATCCAATTTTTGAGAGGAAAATTAAACTACACAGTCAAATTAGATCTTTAAAATTCACACAATAAACTTAAATCTGCTAAACATATGCAGTAACATATGTCAACTTCGTAAATAATATGAGAGTTCGTTGTGTAAAAAGGAGTGGATAATACAGTACACAAAACCATCTAAAAGTACAATTTTGGTGCATCATTTTTGGACTATCTAACTGTAATGACTGTAATTGTGATCTTAAATTTGTGATATTACTTTTATGCCATCCTTTTTTTTTCATACTTAGATGCATTACCATATAAAATTTCATTTGAATTGATGCACGATTTAAGTTATGACAGAAAATATGCATGTTCCTTCACTTTTTGAACTTAACTTTAAAAGCTACTTTCATTAGTTAGGAGCGATTTTTTTAACACAGGGCACTTATTTTGTCTAAAATAAATATTTCAGAGCAAGTTTAAAGCAGTTTTTGGAAATAGAGCAATGTAGGTCATATAATTTGATTCTGGGTTGTTTTTAAAATATAATCTGTAGATTTCAATTTGGTTATGATATACTTCATGTCATGAGCAAAAACATGATTTTGGGCTTCGACAAAGAAATATCGAATTTTTAGCATAAATTTGGTGATTTAATTTTAATGCTGTAGGGCTTTGGGTGAATGAATAAATAAAGATTTGAGTCAGTTTTTTTTCAAATATAGAGAGTTCCCTAATGATCGCCCTTAATATTATACATTTTTTGAGTCCTTGTCAAAAATGAAGCAAATAAACCATGCGCATTAGAAGTCGCAAAATTAATATTCAAGCGAAAAAAAGAAAAAAAAAAACACCATCGAAATCTAACCAGTCACTAATGAGGAAGGCGTGATGCGAAACAAAACAAATTTGATTGCTTCACGAAAATTGGACGTGTTTCTAACAATCACATTTAAACTTTTCTCTCTCTTTAATGGCTATCAAACAGATTTCAATGCTTTTATTTTCGCATTCACACTAATAATTCGTTAGATTTCAATAGGATACATGTAACATGTACCCTTTTTACCTTCAAGGATTTTAATCATATATATTAAGGGTTGTTATTACGGAGCACCTTTTTATAATTAATAAATACTATTTTTAAAATGAAATACTCTTATTCATTTAAAATAATTTTAATAGTTTTTAAAAGTGTTTAATGAAAAACGTTCAGCTAAATTTTACCTGGATTAAAAAGAACAATTGCTCGAAGGCAACCAAGTTCAGATTTATCCATTTTCATTTCTCTCATTTTTGCAACTAGTTCGGCAAGGACTCGTTCAAATATAGCTCCAACACCAGCACTATGTGCACTATTTCGATGAACGACAAGTCCAGTTGCTAGCACTATACCATTTTCAACACCAATAGATCGATGGGAAAATGCAGCGATTAAGAGCTCATTCCAACCTATAACAACAATAAGTGTATCAATTCGAATGTATATCGATAATAAAACATTAACAAAACATAATTTTGCTCATTTCTTGAATGAATTATTTCCATAATTTCTAATTTTCATAATTTCTTGAATGAATTATTTCCATAATTTATAATTTTCATAATTTCTTAAATGAATTATTTCCATAATTTATAATTTTCATAATTTCTTGAATGAGTTATTTCCAGTCATTGAAAACATTTAAAACAATATTTTTGAAATTTGATGAAAATCGAAGTGTGATAAACAAAATTGTTGGTCACTCGCGTGGGCACAAATAAAAACCCACAATATTTTAATTATCTGAGAGTGTTTCGTAAAAACTGCGCTTTATATACATCTTTAGAATAAAAAATTAAGGGAAAAAAACACTTGACGTGAGTCTTGAATAAATATTTAAGCGAAGATATAAATGCCTCTCAAATCCAGCAGTATACAGAGCTTGAGAAATTGGAGTTAGAAACACTTTCTACTTGCAATCAAAGTTCTATACACCCACTATTCTTGGATTCCGATAGCATTTTTGATATTATTTAGCTGAAATATTTATTTGAGACTGTGTATGCGTTTTGTCGCTATTTTTGAAAACCATTCTAAAAACAAATATTAAGCGGCCTGTATATATACTTAAATACAAATTATTCAGCTCGTCCAGAAGGAAAATCATTAGCGGCGTCAAAAGTTATGCAATTTTCTTTCAGATTTAAGACTCTTTCTATTGAAAAAGACTGTAAGACAAAAATATACCTTTGTAGAGGAAAAAAAAAAGATTTTAAATTAAGTAACAAACATGTTATTTTTTTATGTTCAAACTCCGAATGTCCTTTATAGGGGACGCTGATAAAAACAATAAAATTTTATATCTAATGTAAATTTTTAAGGAATACGATAATCGTGAGCACATATAATGGTAAAAAAATAATTATATATAAATCCTTAACCCATTTTTGTAATATTTCCACATAAAATTCTGAAACCCTGTGGCAGAACTTTTTCTAGCTTTTTGCGACTGACCTCGCCTGCACTAATATCTTTCAGCAAGAAATTATTAATAATAATAAATTTATATGTTGCTAATTTAAAAAAGATGCGAAAGCGTTTTTTTTTTTTTTTTTTTTTTTNAAAAAATTTACAATAAGTCTATTTTATGATTTTTTTTTTTTTTTTTTTTTTAAAAACCGCTATCTACTTGGATTAAATAAAACTGTATATAGTTTTTCTAATTGTAAATGTTTATTCTAATATTATGGGTGATATTCTCGCATTTTTTAGGGGTAGAAAACACTAATTTTTTGCATTTTGAAAAACATCATCACATTAAAAAAAAATCCGTAACAGTAATCATCCGTAACAGTAACGGAGTTAAAGGGGCGTTCTCGCAAATCGCCAAACAGCTGTGTGCTTATGTTTTTGTTTTGTTTTCGGTATCTATCTATCATTCACCAAGTTATATATGGGTGCGACATTTCAGAGTTTCAAATAAGCTGATCTTCATTAGATTCTTCTGCTTTAAATAAAATATAAAGCGTATTTTTTTGTTATAGCGCCGACATAATCGTTTGTATCTGTTAACATAATTCTGTTTATTAGCGTTTTTTAGAACGTCGTAATAAAACTAAGATAAAAAAATTATATATTATTACCTCCATAGCCCCCTTCTGTATTTTCATAACTTTCATTAAATGTATACGCGTATTTCGAGTAGTGAACTTCTTTACCTACTCATCCACTTATTAAAATTAATAATTTCACAATAACCTCTAATCCTTAATAATGAAATGATTATTACAATAAAGTTTGTTTACTTAAAAGATTTAAAAAAAAATTATTGTTCAGCAGTGACTTTGTTACTAATTCTATATTCATTAATTAAACTTAATGGTTCTGCTCGATAACCATTTACAATTTTTTTTAAATTTTATTTAATTTTCAGTTATTATGGAATTCCTTAAATATTTTTCGACGTAGAGGTTATTTAGCAATAATGCGAAAAGCTGAAATTTATAAATGTATAATATTTATAAATGTTTAAGAGAATTATTAGCAGCTATTTTGTACTAATTATTTTAGTTGAAATGTTCATTATACACAGTTTTATAAAAATAATCGTAAAATTCATTGAACGATGGAGACATTGACATTTTAAAATGCAAGTAGAATTCAATAATCATTTCATTTTATAACTGTAAAACGGTAGATAAGTAACTTCGTTATCAAGTTTTACATGATACGAGAATATTATGCTATTGCTTTATAATGAAAGAACAACATTTTAAGTTCTAAACTTTTTGTGGAAAAAAAAAAAAAAAACGAAATTTTTTTCCTGTCATCGGTGTTAGCGATTAGAGAGTGTTTTATCGTATAAATGTTAAGTCAGTACTGTTCCATTTTAAATAAAAATGCATTTTGTTCCGGAAAAAAAATTACTTGAATTTGTCAATAGAAATTCCCTAATTATTGTAGCAAGAACTTTTAAATTTCTAATCAAACTTTCCTCTATTATAATTTTGTGCAAATAATTATTATTAATAATATAAATGACTATTAAAAGGAATTAATTGAGAATGTTCAATTTTAATAAATTAACTGTTTACGCAATCAGATTAATAACTTTTTTCATAATTTACAAATGGAGAAAAAGTCTTTTACAGTTTAAAAGTGAAAAGAAAAATAAAGTTGAGATTAAATTTATAAAGTAAGCATAACTCGAAGGAGGTTGAAGTAAGGGCATTAGACGAAGTGATTGTGTTTTTTTTAAATATTATTTAGAAAGAATTTTTCTAAAAGTATTTCTTTTAAAGTTTTTATCAAACTTTTGTTTTTTATTTATCTATAGTTATTGAAAGTTAAGTTGATGATTTTTAAGTTGAAATGAATGCCGCCCTGCTTTGCATATTTCAAATATTATTTCTAAAGAAATGTATAACTTAACATTAAACACCCAGGACCTTACAATTGTAAATCAAACAATCACTACATTTATTTATTAAAAAACACTCTTATGACCTGATAATAAATTGATCTAAATCTTAAATGTGAGTTTTATAACATATAATTTATTTAAACTCAGCACATACATCTAACCTCTGTTGTCGCCAATGGCTCAATTTTAAAATATAGTTTTTCTTTTATAAATTTTCTGATATTTTCATATGAAGGACAGTATTAAGTTCGAGAATTAAAAATTTGTGCCTAATAAAGTTGTTAAAAATTATGATTTTTATTAATATTTGAAAACAGGAAGTTTTTAATTGAAGGTTGAACATTTTTTTAATTATGTTATTTTTTTAATTATGTTATTTTTTTAATTATGTTATTTTTTAATAATGTTATTTTTAATTATATTTTTAAATACCAAACTCATATAACAGTATTTAGGAATCTATAAATTTATGTTACGTATGTTCGTTGCGGAATAGCCTGTACGCAATATATGTAAATAAAATATATTTTTGAAATTGTGCATTTTCTTTTAATTGCATTTATTATTCTTATATTGAAAGAGTATCAAATTATCTATGACCTCCATAATGAATGAAGTATTTACGGACTTTTGTATATATTAAGGAATTGAATCAATTTTTCAAGAAGTTTAAGATCTCATCTCATTGTTAAAAAAGTAATTTAATAAAATTATGCAAAAAAAGTAATTTAATATATTTTTTTTACAATGAATGCTTCTAGTAATGAAACAAACGCTTTCAAACTTTATTTTAAAAATATCGATTATTTCGTTTGCAAGAAACTATTACTTTAAAGCGTGATAAAATTTTTGAATACTCTAATTTTTTTCCGGTAAATAATATGACTTTGTTAATTTCTAAAAAAAATAATCTTCATAAAAAAGCTTACATTATTCTTTTATAGAGAATATTGATTTAATAGAGAATATCACTAAAATAAAACAGGTTATGTATTCTTACAATAAAAGTTAAATAGAATTAATTCTTCATAATAGCGTTCCAATAAAACATGGTATTAAAATGTTACGTTATTTTTTGTGATTGGTTCATTAATAAATTATTTTTATTTCTTCGCAAACACAATTCTTGTAAAAAAAATTAAAAAATTGAATCTGTTATATCAAAAAACTAGATCGTTTTATAAAATATAAATTATTGAGTTTAATAAAATATAAATACAGTGTATTTGTAAAGTGATCCTAACAATAAAAAGGTTATTTTCTTTTTTAATTCTCTTCTGAAAAGAATTAATGAGTTATTTTTATTCATCATGGAAGTCGAGGAGGTTAGTTTAGGTTAATGTAATTTCGTTCTTCCACCACATTTACGCGTAATCCATCGCCAATTCCACCTGCAATCGCCACGTTTATAATCTATGGTATGGTTTGGCAATTCGCTAACAGTAAACATCGAAAAGAAAGATGAATTTCAAAAACACGTGAATCAAAAATGGGCTACTAAACAAAGGTTACAAGAGGTTTTCTTTGGCGAAAGAACATCCGTCCTAATTAATGTGTTCCTTATTTTAGAATCCCTCCTTCATTTTCATTACATACAATTTTATATTTCAAACATAAACTGAGCCTTGCTGGCTTAGGGAATAGAGCGCTTACTTTCCAATAAAGTGACCCGGGTTCCCAAAGATGGCTGGTAGATACGAATTCCGTTCCTGACCACAGTGCTGACGTAAAATATCCTCAGTGGTAGGCGGATCATGGGTTAAATCCCCCCTGCCACCAGGCTAACCGAGGGAAGTTTGTGGGATTTTCCTCTCTATGTAACGAAAATGTGGGTTAGTTCCTTTAGAAAGTTCTCCACGAAGGCAAAGATTTCTCCTAATACTAGGTGCAAAAGTTCCCTTGTCTTCTTGATTGGGTTCAAAATTACAAGACTATGGAGTTGAACACAGATAGCTCAAAATTCGGTTGGCTGTTCAACGATGATTATAAAATAAAAAATCTCAAAGGCTGTAATCAAAGTTTTTAGAAGTTTATTTTAGTACAAAATATTATTCACTTAAGAAAAATGCTATATTTATAGGGGATGGTAATAATTCAACGCCAATTTGGGTTTTTTGTTCTTAGTGGACACCATTTTCTCACAGAGGGATCGAAATTTGCATAAATTTTTTTCTTGCATATTTTTTCCCGTGATTCAGATGATGCTTTAAAAATCCGAAAATTTACTTCATATTCGTATAAAGAGTATTTCTAAAACCAATCAATCAATAAATGTTCAGTTTAAATTAGATTAAAAAAAAAAAAAAAAAAAAAANAAAAAAAAAAAAAAAAAAAAAAAAAAAAAAAAAAAAAGAGTTAAAGACATTACCTGCTTTCAGCAACTTCATTTGATCTTCAAGTGGAAGTTGAGTAAAGTGAGGGATGTGTTTGGCCCATTCAACAAGTTGATATAATTGCCGATCAGCTGCTTGACAAATATTTATCACAGAATCTTTTGGAGGATCTTCTTGCTTTACATACCACTAAAAAATACATATAAAAGGTATAGTTTGTCCCCACAAAGTCTGAGGTCATCTGCTGCATTTCAGGGAGGTAGACTAGTTCTAACACAGTAGACCGAAGACTCTCGCCGATCCGAGCCAGTGCTAAACAATGACCCCACACGACTACTTGAAACAGTTATACTTCGTAACCGCCACGGGTCAAGACGAATGGCTAGGGGAGTTCTTGCGTTAGACAAACTATATTTCACACAGAAATTCTTTACTCAATAACAGGATGGCAAGTTTCATCCACAATGGAAAAAAACGGCCAAGGAAGAAGAAATAGGTTTCTTTCTACCAAATTAGAAGAAACTCTATGGGGAAAAAAATCTCCAAGATTGAAAATATTTTAACGCAATCTAGTTAATATAATAATAGTCTGCCGTGCAATTGAAAAAACAACGTAAGTGCTTCTAGATTGATTCCGAGAAAAGTCGCTTGACAACTATTTTCCTTCTATTGCTAATGCTATGAATGCTAAAATAGAGTTTCAAAAAACTGAGAAACTTATTATTTTGTTATTATTTTGTTACTTATTAATTTATACTGAGAACTTATTATTTTATTTTTTTTTTTTTTTTTTTTTTTTTTTTTTTTTTTTTTTTGCAATATATATATATGTAGCTTACCATACAAAGATGCCAAATATATATTAAAAAAAAACCCAATTTTGAATTTTTCGTCGCTTACGTTGATTTTTTAATTGCACGGCAATATTAATCTCCGAGATATTAGAATCACTTTTAAATGAGTACAAATAAAAAGTAGCAATTAGGAAAAAAAATAAATCTAATGAATTTTTTAAGAAATTTAAACAAATCTCATTATGTTTTACTCAAAGGAGTATAATCGAATCTAATTTCATAATTATATAAAGAACTTTAAAGATATCTTCGTCACATTTTATAAACATAATTAAATTAGAAAATTAAATACTAATCATACTACAAATCACTTATTGTTATCACAAATACGAATAGCATATTAATTTTCAGAATCCAATCCTATGAAGTATAATACTCAAAACAACTCTTAGATGACATATCTAGATTATAAATTTTTGTACCAAACAAAAATAAATATTATCAAAACAATTAAAAAAAATTTTCTCGAAAAAATAGATGTGAAAAACTTTTTGAAGGTCAAAAATCTAAATCCATCGAAAAAAAGTTTGTTTGGTCAGATTTTTTTTTTGTGTCTGAAGCCGTTACATAAAATATCGTTAGCACTAATTAATCCACTTATTTAAGGTTAGCTCCTCGAATCATTAAGATTGCGTTTTTTGCGTTTAGTTAGCAAAATCCAAGTTTAAGATCTAAAAGTGTTCTTTTTTCCTTCAATTTTTGGCACTGTATGTACGACTTTTAGCCAAAACGTATAATACGAAATTCAAAAAAAAAAAAAAAAAAAATGATCCTATGCCTACAATACTATTGATGATGGTGCTAAGTATTTATTCAAATCGGATAAAAATGAACTAATTTATCAACCCTCATGTTTATATTGGGTTGCTTGGAAAGTAATTTCGTTTTTTTTCCTTATGAAAATGAAAGGCGATTTTTTAATAGTGACTAAGTATTTAATTGAATCATATATTGTTCATTCTGGTCCAATACCCTATGCCATCTTTCGTACAGTAGTACGATTCAATACGCATGAAGTTTTTGTTTTTTGCTGGCAGGCTTTTGTTCTTCACGGGTGATTTTTGACCTCTTATTTGAAGTAAAGGTTTTTGTAGAGAGCTAAAAAAAATTTGTAGAGACCGTAACATTGTTTAAACAATCCATTTCTTGTCCCAAGTGCCCAGGCGCTTCAAAAGTTGATAATTTTCTTAATGTTTGAGAAGCAAATCACACGCGTCAAAGCGACAGCACAAATTTCTTTCCGTAAGAACATGAGAAATCCATAAGTCGCGCTTTAAGATTAAACCATAAGTTTTTAAAATGATTACGAACGGTCCCAGCAATCTCACAAGTTGCTATTCACCGGTTTGCATAAATTAATACCTTCATTTCAGGCATCATTAGCTTAAACTGGGGAGGTGCATAATCGTGCATCTTAAAAAAAATTTTGCAAACCAGTTTTGACGCTGGCGTACTGCCGCTACATCTTCTCCATGCACACTAGATTATTATTATTTATTATTATTTTGTTTGATCAGCAGTTAACCGAAAATTCTGTTTTTCACTTTTAATATTTGAAAGGGCACCAACCAAAAACTACAGCGTAGAATCAATCGAAATTTTTAATAAGCAAACCTTGCTGTATCAGCTGTCAAAGTATAGATTATGAGGTTTAAGTATGAGGTTGGCTGTGAAAAAGTATATTTAAGTTCTGCTGGAAAAAACGAAATTACTTTCCGGACAACCCAATACATCAAGGGCTGCTTTTAAAAATTTCAAATTCTCATTAATAGTGTATGATGGAATACTTAATAATATTTCTCACAAATGGCGTCTTGTTCTATATTATAAATCATTATAGAACATATTTCATTCAGCAGCTCAGATTTAATTCAGCCATGTTTTTTGTAGGAAGCCATTGGAAGGTGATTTCAAACAAGAATTAAATTGTGTTCAAAAAATAAGATGCCTGAATTAAATCTTAAACAATAACATACAACATTGCTCAAAGCACCATCTATGAGAAAGATATCATATTATTCTCATTCATAAGAGTTTTCTTAGAATGAAGAAAAATTGAGCGAAAAATTTGCTTGAAATATCGGATAATTGAAAAGTGAATAGAATGAGTTAAAATATTACTGCTGTATCCAGAGCTTCAGATTTGGGTTCTACTCTGAGTTCCGCTTCTAAAATGCGATCAATTGACATACCATTTTGAGAACTACTCGTACTTTCTACTTCATTATCGGGTCGTTCTTTTGTTCGATGTCTTTCTTCTTGAACAGCTGTAAAAAAATACTTATTAATTCTCATTTAGTTACGTCTCCTTTAATATACAGGGTGCTTCGTAATGAAGAATTTCGTAAAAAAATGAAGTTAAAGAAGTCATTGTCAAAAAGGAAAAAAATTTAAATACGGCAGGAGTCACAAATTAAATTTAAAGCGAGAAAAAAATAAACACGCTATTGAAATCTAACGAATCAGTAATGAGTAAGACAGGATTGGAGACAGCAAAATCAGTTTGATTGCCTTAAAGATGTTTATAATAATTACTTTTCACCTGTGTTTTTTACAAGTAACAGGTTTCGATGTTCTCAGTATCGTCTTTCTCACTAGTGATTCGTTAAATTTCGATAGGGCATTTGTTTTTCTTTCTAAGCTTAAATTTTAAATTGAGACCCTTAACGTTTATACCATTTGAATTCTAAGAATTATAGGTTAAAGGCGGTCATTACAGAACATCATCTTTTCGAGCCCTTTTTATAAAATTTTTACCTATCCCTAACACCCCATTTACAGGAAGATTGAAAGCAACCTTCCTGAAAAAAGGTTTGTCAAATTTTTATTACTCCTGAAGTGAAGAGCTCTATTTTGCAGGGATAGGTGGAAAATAACCACGTGACGCAAAGAGTCACCCACCTCAATTCCAGCTTGACTCTAAGTTAACAAGCTACTAGGGACAAAACGATTCCATAATACAAACGGACTTGGAAAATTTAGAAAGAGAAAGAAAGGTCAAAATGAGCCCGATATCGGGATAACGTTGCTGTTGAGAGCACTAGAGCAAAATATCGCCTTATTTTAGCGCCAACATTGGAAGCCAAATTTTGACGGGGTTTCCTGAGACAAAAACTTAGCTAGGGTCATCAAAAAAGAAAGAATTGATTATTAGGCTTTACAGTGATGACAGTTAGAATGGATTTTTTTTTAAATCTTTAAAGAGAACATTTTGATGCAGAGATGTACTGTTGATAATTATCGGTTGAGGTTCCCCAGTAGGTACATGTTGGGGGAGAGTGGGAGATAGTAAAAAGAGTTCCGTGTATAAAGGAGATAGAAAGAAAAACAAGAAATTATAGATTTATAATTTTTGATAGGAAAAAAAAAACACTTATAATCAGCTGTTTTAATATATTAATATANTATATATATATATTTTAACTTGTGTTTACTTCAAAAAAATAATGTGGTTATTTTCTAATTTTGTGTTCTCAGAAACATTTTTTAAACTTAGAAATGTCATATCGCAGTTTGAAAAACAAAGTTTGAATTATGATCTATAGTGTAGTGTGTTTTTCTGAATTGTAAATATATATTTATGCAATATAATGTGTTAAGAAGCCCGGGGAATTTCAGTTGAATGGTGACAAAGAAAGATGGAAAATATTTTTAAAAAAGTGTGGCATCATTAATGGACAGAGTCTCACTAACACAGATGGGACAAATATTGTTTTTATATTTAAAATGTCTTTTCTCGTCAAGAGATGGACTGTTTGCAATTCATCAGTAAGGGATTCACAGATATCATCTAATATAGCTGTTATAGGTATTTTGTTCAACAATTTAAAAGCAATAACATTTCTTTCTTGTTCGCTAAGCTCCCAATATCATCTTTATGGCCTATGTGCGTTTTTGTGTATTCAACAGTAAGAACTGATTTTTCTTCTACAACCTTCATCATAGTTAGCATTAATTGTGTTGCTACCCATACATTTTATGTTTCTTTCACCAATACCTCTAGAATTAAACACTCCACTTCAATGACAATAGTAGTAGGTGGTTTTAGAACTACCATTCTCTTTAGATCCAGAATTCTGGACATACATAGCATGATTTTCATGTTCAATATTTTCTTTCCAAGAAGAAAATGAGTCTAACGAAGAAAATGCAAAAATTTCCTTCTTATTATCATGTGTCTGTTCAACATGAAATTCCATTTTCGCATTAGACGGAAATGTTTCATTTCAAACAGCACATTTGATGCCGGATCGTGATCCGAGCGGCATATTTTCTAGACTTTTATCCGGATGCTTCAGACGTATATGTTTATACAAATTGGAACTCATTGAATATATCTTTTCACATTCAACACATTTATGTTGAATATCATCATCCATTATAAACTGCAAATCGCAAATAACGAAATTAAAAATAACAAAAAATAACTAACTTTAAAGATAAAAAAAACAACAAAAAAAAACAAAGGCAAAACAGATAACAATAATAAAAACAAAAACATAACGAAAGAATTCAACAAATAAGATATTTTATACGAGTTCGAAAATGACAGCAAACGTCGCAAAAAATAAACATAAACAAATGCGAACGGTGACTGCAAACCTTTGAAATTTAGACAATACGCCAAGGAAGCGAATGAAAAAATCCCCAATATTCCCTCTTTCCCTATTTTCTCTCTACCGACGAAACTCTAAGTTTTTAACATTATGGAATCGTCCTCCCCCTAGTCGCTTGTTCAAAACAAGCTTCATATGTCATTGCTTGCCTGAAAAGCATCAAGTTATCGTTCCTCTGGTAACATCACGCGCTTAGGAAGTTGTGGCGTTGCAGTCTGAAATGCAAAGTCCGAACTTCGAATCTCTGACGTTGGACTAGTCGCTTGCAGCCGATAATTGACGTAAACCTCATACCTGAATGGAGATATGCGTGAAGGGCGAAATCAGCAAAACGCGCACAGAATGTTTTGGATATAACTTGGCCGCCTCCCCACAGCTTGCTCTCTCTCCCCGTCGGTTCTAGCTAGCAGTCCGGCATGTTCTCGCCGGTTACCTTTTCGCAGTTTTTTTCTATGCTGCTTCAATGTTAAAGTGGTTAAGTTTTATATATGTTAGAATGTTTTAGTTAAATTTACAAGTTTCCTAAATGTTAATAAAGATAGTTATTCGTTTAAACTTAGTGCTATTTATGAAGAAACCTATAATCCGTTCTCGGAAACATTTTCATGTGGAAGGCTTTTCTAGAGTTAGATTTCTTTTTAGAGTTTAAGTGGGGACTATAACAAAGATACCAAACAACCCACAAGTGGTGACCCGGACTTAGAAGTAGTGACACCCTTCTGAATCAAAGAATATGTGGAATTATGGATTACTATTTTTATTGAACGTGGCTGGCTTACCTGGTACGCAGTGAGTAGTTACTTCCTGGTTAATGTTTCTCTTTTTCAGAGCTGTGCATTGTGCCATTTTTATAGGTTTTAATGTTTCTATGCACTAGTGCAATTTAAATTTAAACGTATTGAATTTAATTAAATTCTCATGGACTTTGTCAGGATCCTGATTCCTCTCCCACGCATTGGATTGACCCCTTGACCTGAGGGTCAGAGGGTGAAGGACACTGGAGGTGTCGTCCCCTACATTGGGGGTGGAGCAAAGGACTGTTTCTTATGGGAAAGAGGATTTTTTAGAAAGAGATTCGTTTTGAACGCCGTAAGAGTAGGGTTGTAATTGAACGATGATAGTTTTAGTATGAAGGGAGCAGTTGCGCTCCAAAAACATTATACTCAACAGCTCATGTATCTATTTGTAACTTTTCTGTAAATAATTCTATAATCAAGAATTTAATAATAAATAAGCTATAATTGAAATAATCCTTGGTCATCCTTATTGAGGAGTCTTTAAAAACGAACCAAGAGACAAAATGTCTCACAAA